TGGGCAGACCTGACAGAATTGTGTCCGTACAGTAGATGTCACTGTCTTCTTTAAAAATACATGGAGGACGGCAGGAAAAAAGACAAGCAGACCAACAGAGAAAAAGTGAGAGCCAGAGTAATTTATTCAATTTATTTATTAACAAACGCTGAGAGAGCCTACGTTTTGAAAGTACGTAAATTGACGATTAATTGACTATAACTTCCAATCCTGCGGCTCCAAAGTCCATTACATTGTGCTGTAGAGAGCCATAAAATCATCAACCTCTTCAAAAGAAAGGCAGTGTTTGCTACATAAAGAGAAGCAGCAGTGAGAATAACGAGTGACAAGAATTACAAGAAGTTTTTTATTATTATTTTACATTTTACAGAAAGATTATCCATTATATGGTTTGACAGTTATGTCTGTCGCCTAGTGATCAGTACAATCTCCATGTCCCTTTTGCTAATTAGTCTTTAGTTGACAAAGGGATTTCTTGACCTCTGCATCCTCTGTTTCAACTCCAAATCTTAGACCCTTAAACCTTAAGAAACCTTAACTGTAACACAAGCACACATAAATCAAAAGATGTATGGATCTCATAATCCACTCAGGCCTTTTAAATACTTGTAACCAGAAAGAAAGACCTAAAGGGGAACTCCATTGATTTTTCAAAAATTCTGCATAATTAAATGGTTGAGATCTTCACTTTCTCTTTTCACAGTGGAAGTGATGGGAACCAGACGTCTGAAGAGTTTAATACCTCTGAAAGCTCCCTCACAGAAAGTTATTACATAAAGTGGTTAGATATATGCTGCTTGATGTCTGACACATTGTTTTAACCCTTTAACGTTCTGCTCAATTATTTGGTAGAGCACATTTTGAGTCACTATATATGCCACAAAGTGCCATCTCGACCGTTTGTTAGACGTGAATATTTACCAATATTCACCAATTGTTTTTATTATTGCCCCAAACAAATAAAAAATACAAAATATAAAGTTCCATTGCTTTGTTCTTGGTGAGGACATTAAAGGGTTAAAGTTTTGTGGTACCATTTTGGCTTAAAATGTACTTTAGTCCAATAGTTTTGATCCATTCATGGCAGATGGATACATATGCTACATTGTAAGGCAAAACAGTCCCCAAAGAGATCTTATTTTTTCTTATATTTATGCCTCTTTTACCATTACATATCAAAACTCAGAAGACACGTGCAGGTTCACTGGTGGTTTTGGATAGAAAATAAAATGGCTATATTTGTGCTGTAGGCATGGCAACCCCTGATTCCTGTCACCACCACTGTAAAGAGTCTCTGCAATGAACCACTTCACATCAAACCACTCTGAATGACTCTGTTTACATCTCAAAGACTGAATTATTCACAAATTTTGAAAAAATAGTGGAATTCACCTTCAGATGCCCCCTCTAACAAAGTAAACCTTTATTCCGAGTGGCACGTATCCAAATTACACAAAGTGAGTTCCTGCAAGGAAAACTAGAAACATTCTGGTCTGAACAGATATGAACAGTAGGTACATTCCTTTATGATCCAACAGCGTGTCTCTATAAAAGTGTGATGAGTGAAGTGATCAAGATATTCTAAAGTAGGTCACCATAAGTTGAAAACCACTCGTCATAATGATCAATGCCATGTGGATAAAAGTGGGCCCGAAGTGAAAATATGGGAGCCTTTCCAAAGGAAACAGTGTCAGTCTGTCCCAAGCATTGCTGAGCCTTGGTTCTGCACCTTCTCACAGAAACATCAGTCCAATTACTAAATGACCATGCCACATGTAAAGGAAGGTGCTAGATAAATGTTTTAAGCAGCACTTCTCAGGTTGTGATACCTTAATAGAATATGGATCTTCTATTACTAATCACTTAAACATGTCCATTTCTAAGGGAATACTGTCTCCTAGTTGCAATCACAGTTCATACCGTAATTCAGTGTAAAAGTCAATGAAATTACTTGAGCCATATAATGTGAAGGTTGAAGGGTTTTGTCCCAAACAGAAAAGACTTAAGAGCTGATGAAATAAGAGTGCTCTATTGTGAAATAGTTTTCCTACCCAATGAAAAATGTTTCATGTTGACCAGGATTTCCAAGCCTTGGTAATTCTAGACTACACATGGTGTGATAAGATCACTGGCAAAGACAAACACACAGGTGATTTTTTTTTTTAATGAAAGTGAATACTGCTCTTAGATTAAGATATTGAAAAATCACTTTAATTCTGCTGATTCCTTGTCCAGAATGCATATTTTAGTTAATGGCTTAACAAAGAACATGAGACGTCTCTGGATTATTTACACTCACAATGGAAACCTCATTTCAATTACCAAAAACTTTTCTTTACAAAAAGTAGGTCATGACAGTCAAACAAGTTCATGGGTAGGTCTAAAATTTTTTTTCAGAGGGCATCCATTTCACATTTGTTACAAGAATTATCATTCCATTTAAAAATCTTGCTCCACATTAACTACGCATCTGTCACTAATCTGTATTATACTGACAAAAAATGTATCAATAAAGTGGTTCCTGAGAAACTTTACGACTGTGCATGACAAATGCCCCCATGAGAAATTGAGTTTTTATTCTACTTTGTCTAGATGGATTATTATCATCCCTTTCCTCTTTGTTATCTGTTGGTAGAGGTGCCAGCCCCACTTTGCAACCATCCTTGATCTCCGAACCTTTTCTGGGACCTCTCCAGGAAAATAAATCCGTCACTGCCTTTGAACATATGGGTCAAACAAGTGATCGCTGATGTTTGTCCTCACAGTCCAGTTGGGCAGGAGTTGGCCAATCTCCTTAACAGAGCAACAGAGATTACTTAAGCGTACTTAAAGTTGATTGGCTGGGAAAGAAGAGGTCAAAGGTAAGCAAGGTTTCTGCCTGTAAAAACAAGAAGTAAAACAGTAGGTGCGGGTGATTACGAGGGTCTGGTCAGTGAGTGAATGTTTGGCTCAGCTCACACTGGACATTTAGATAAAATGCCGATAGGAAACAATGGCCTAGTTAAACCTTGTTCATGTTCCAGGGAACACGAGCGCCCAGAAATACTACACTAATGAGTTTTTGGAAACACTGATGAAGCAAGCATTCGTACTTACGAGCTGGTAACTTTGAAAAATATCACAGTGGATGTGGATATGACTAGTCACTGCACAGAGTACACTACTGTGGAGCACTCAAGTAATGCTAACACAGTGGGTAGAACAGTCTTAAAGGGATTTCGACCTTTTAAAATATACTGCAGGACATTGCAGAACTCATTGTTACTTTCCATGGGGCTCTGTCCTTTCAAGGACACAACAAACACATTGAGCTTTTTCTAAAGTACCATTTTTTAAAATCTTTCAGTAAGTTCTAAGGTGCTTTAATTTTTAATGTCCAGCTAGCAATGGCTCTGAGTGAAGAAATGCCAGCTGTAGTTCATTTTATGTTGCTTGGTACAGAAACATCAACTTATGTATGGCAGATGATAAATATTCATATTAACACGCCATATTAAGTGCACACCTCAGCCTAATTCACTGATGCAATGTGCCGAGTACACAATAACAAGATCACAAGAAAAAGAGTTCCAACAGAATCTGTCTTTACAATATTGTAGCACATAGGAACGCTACATTTTTAACATTATCATAGCACTTACGAATACTAGGAGTACTACACTTTAACAGTTAGCACTTACAATCACATTTGACAATGTCATAGCATTTGGGAATATTTTAGGCTGAGCAATACAAGTAATATCACCAATGTTAGGATGTTGTTCTTGTACACATTACCATGAACATTCTCTAGAAAATACCCAAGAAATATAAGATAATAAGACATAAAAACATCAAAAATTATACAGAATATACTTCACTCCTAAATTCCTACAGCCTTTGGAGACATCCTGAACACTGTAATATACTGTGTATATAATAACAAACACAGCAATGCAATACCAGTTATGTCAAGAGCATAAGCTAATAGTCTAAAGTTGTTTGTAAGATCGTTATTTCGTATCTTCGGCTTCAAAAGCACACATTACACCACTATTTGGCAGTGGTTTTTGAAAGCAATTAAAAGTAATTTGAGGAGAAGACAAGCTGCATCACATCACCACCATCACCACCACACCACCTCCTCCCTCGTTGATCAAATTAATAAAGTAAATTACATTAATAAAGTAAATAACATTTGAGACTGATTAACAAAACGTGTGTTCGGACACAGCCCTCTTCTGTCAGTATTCCCCTGTGGTGTGCATATGTATGTTTTAAATATAGGCTCACAAGTGTAGAGCACACTTTTAATATTTTAAGTACTATTTTTTTTTTCAACCTTATGTAATTCTCTTTCTTGATGCCTTTAAAAGGACCTTCAGGGAGGATCCCAATTTCATGGATTAATACAGTTTTAAACTATGCTCAGACTTTTCCATAAAACCTGTTCAAAATGTCCAAACCACTCTTATAAAAGCAGAGGAATATTATCTCTGATTGCACTTATGCCACTACAGTCAGCCACATGAATAAATATTTAAGAAGTAGAACTATCTACACATCTGAAATATGTTTTTTTCCATTATGTGGCATTTCATTTCACCAGAATAAGAGACCACCCTTTTTCCGCCTGACTAATTTCAGTGGCCGTTGTCATTTTCTGTGTGGTTTACATTCAAAATCACACAGGCACCCGACTTCCTCAGTTCATTTTTTTCTATTTCTGCATGATTTGCTCTGGATGTCTCATTCCAAACATATAAGTCATCGTTATTGCTTGTCTCTCTCTGTATAAGCATGCCTTTGTTTTCTAACAATAGCTCAAAACCAAGGACAAATTCATGTTCAGTCTCGTAAAAGGTTTTTTCTATTTCTTACGAGGCCTGATAATGCTTCACCAACGTCATTTCAGTTGCTTCAGAAATCTCAACTCATATAGGAGGATATTCTCAGAACTATTAGAATGTCATCATCAATATGAGAACATTTGCTTCTCATAACAGCAGAATGTCAAAATGTCAGAGCTTGGTATAAGCATCCAGAACACCATTTTGTTGTGTACTGCATGAAACATTTGTAAACTGGTGACTCCCAGACGACACAGACCTCTGAGACGAGTGACGGAACCGCTTCTTAAACACTGCACTGCTCTTTTGCCTCTCTTTCAAGTACTCCTGATAATTTCTGGTCAACAATGTGTAAAGGAAGGGGTTGATGCAGCTGTTGCTATAAGCCAGACAGGTCACCACAAAGTTTATGTACACCATTGTACTACGGGACAACTTCCCAGGTCCAAAATAATAGATACTGAGTAACTGCCACAACCAGAAAGGCAAGAAGCATGCCCAGTAAGTGAGAACTATACCAAAGATCATGTAGAGCACCTTTTGTTTGGGACACGTATTCATTTCTTTGGATGAGAACACAGTGGTTTGGGAGAGCCAGTAAGTCCTGGCCAGTTTGAGATACAGGTAACCAATGATGCATCCAGGAGCCAGGATGCAGGTGTTGAAGAGCACGGTCAGGTACACCTTGTAGGCTGTGAGTTGCCAGGTGGGGTGGCACATGCGCTTCTCCACACCATCCTGCACATGCTTCCTCAAGTCGATCATGATCATGGTGGGAAGGGCGAGGACGAATGAGGCAAGCCACACGGCCCATGCCACAGCTCTCCTGCAGCGCCTGGCCCGGGCCAGAGTGTCTAGAGGGTTCACCACGGCCAGGTACCTCTCGGTACTCATCACGGTCAGGATGAAGATGCTGGCGTGCATGGTGAGGAAGTCGAGGCTGAAAAGGATCCGACAGCCCACGTCACCAAAATACCAGTCCTTAGCAAAATAGGTGCACACCACGAAAGGCACAGTGGCCAGGTAGAGCAGGTCGGCCAGGGCCAAGTTCACGATGTAGACATACATGGTTCCGGTGACGCGGACAGAGATATTCATCACCACCAAGGTGTACACGTTTCCGAACACGCCGACCACAAACATGAGGATCAGGACTGTTCCCAGAACACATGTAATTAGGGTGTCTTTTGGAGAAGCTGCTGGCTCTGGGAGAGGGGCTGTCGGCGAAGTGTTGGCCAACATACCCAAGGAGCCATTCAGCTGGACCCACTGACTGACTGCAAGACGGTCAAGTGTCCCCATATTCCCAGAAGGTAAGAGTCACCAATTTATTAGGAGGTCCGAGTTGAAAGAGGTTCAGGCAGCATCGTTATTCTGAAGGAAATGTGGACAGCTTGGCCAAATGTGAGCGAGTTACATTCCAGTCACGTTTTCAGACAGTGACGAGCCTAAAAGTCCTAAAAAAATGTTCACCATTAACAGACAGGGTAGGTTACAGTCAATTCTGTTGTAATTTTAAAGAAATAAACAACGTACAGACTACATTTCACTAATAATTAACGCTGCGTAAAATGTTAGGTAAAGTGTTACCGGTAGAAGAAGATGTCCTCCATACACCTCGGCGCCGTCTCCGTCCTCTGAGCGTGGAGAAGGGAGCTGTTGAGTCTTTAGTAAAGAGGTTAAAATGAAGATGTTATCCGGAGGTGGCTGTGAAGAGGAGAAAAGCGCGGGAAGGATCAGAGCAGGGAGTGAAACTCCAGCGCGCGGAGGCTCCTCTGCTGTGCGCGTGCAGTGTGATTGCGGTTTTTTACCTCAGAGAGCGAACGCGCCTCCCTCCCGTCTGAACTACCGGTAAGATCAGTCAAAACACAGTACTTACTGACCAAAGCTGACCAAAACACAATCCTTTCGTTTCCTACTGTGGGTTTACCGGGGGAAAACGCCCATCTTGAGGAAAAAAGCGGTCTACCAAGAATTAAATGCGCGCGCACTTCTAAGCGAAATAAGAACCATGTTTTTATTTGACAAAGACACTGTCGGGGGACGTTTTACCTCAGCAATGGAAATAATCCTCTCTTTGAGGCAAAATAATCCAGAAGGGTCAGCAAAGGCGCGTCCAATATATATGTTTCAGTGAAATTCGTGAAATCTACATTTCACTGATTAACTGTCTTTTCACCATGGTGTATATCTATTTGTGAAGCCCTTCATGTGTCCTACAGAGGAGCTACATTTCTGCCCGTGTATATGAAGTTTCGTCTTTTCACCTGCTATCTATCTTTTGGTAGTTTTCATTTTTATCCGTGTAGATTAAAAATGCTAAGCTTTTTAATATTTATTTTATGTACATCAGTAATGTAAAGTGACCCCAAAAGGTATATGGACACTTTAACCCTAACCATGCTAAAAATTGGCTAATTTTAAAGGCGTCCTTTAGGTTACTGCATAAAATGTTTAACAAAATGATATTTGTTTCAGAGAATAACACGTCTAGCACAACGTCAGACTGATAGACTCTTTGTGTGGAGAAAACCTGGAGAAGAGTTCCAACCAGACTTCACTAAGAGTCCTGCAAAGCACAGAGGAGGAAACAAAGTCTGGAGCAGTTCTTCTTGCAGTGGTTTTGGTGAGCTTGTGTTCACTGTTAAAATAAATAGTACTTGGTTTAATATTTTGTTTCTTAACACAGTGAACTTAATACATGGTTAAGTATGGCACAAAAATGTTCAATTACTTCTGGGGAGTCACTGTAGTACACTAGTTTACTTCTACAGCTTAGTATTGACTAATAAAGGAAAAGACACTAAATGTAATCACTTAAAAACACACACAGCTAAAAACCTTAACATATTTCTGAAGACAGTTTTAGGACGTTTTGGGATTCTAGCATAATGCCACCCTATAAAACAGTGCTTCCTATCTCCAGTCCTGGAGGCCCACTGCTCTGCACATTTTAGTGCTTTCTGTGCTTTGCTGCACCCTCTTCAAATCTAAAAGATGTTGTTAAAGAGCCCATTAGTTGGATCAGATGTGCTGAAGCAAGGAAAACACCAAAATGCAGTTTAGTACTGAGTGTCTAAATGGCTACATTGAAGATATTTTTATTCTGCATTATGGGCGGCGCCATATTGCCAAGTTGATGACGTTGGTTATACTTACCCCTTTCCTCTGCTAGTCACTGATTAAAAAGCACGGCTCTAACTAGCAGCCAACAACTAAGCAGTTGAACATCAAACCTTAACTGTTACCCGCAATACTGCAGTACTCAATAGGTTCTTGTAATAAGCAAAAGTAATAGAATAAATCAATAATTATTTTTTTCCCAAATATTATTTATCATTATTTTATCATTTATGATTTTGTTTCACACCTGTTTTGGTAACATGTTTAAATGTCAGCCCTTGTAATCAGTACTCCAAGTACATAGCTAAATCCAGTGTTAGCTGTTGTTGTGATGACATCATGCAGGATTTGTGAAACAAACCTTTTTTTGAGAAAGTGTGAAAACCAGTGAGATTACATTCACAGCCGTGAGACCTCAGCAAAGGCAAAAACGTGATTCTCACAGGTGAACTATGAGTAGTAGCTATGTAGGTTAGTAGCTATGTGTTACTAAAATGATAGCTAAAGCCTACAGTTGTGCAGAAGAGTGAACAAAAGTAATAAATGAACTAAAAATGATAAACAAACTTACAGACTTTGATATGTGATTACAAACTTGTTCTGTTTTAATAAAATACACCAATAGAACACCAACCTTAAACAAACCTGTAAACATTTATTGAACATGCTGCAATACTATAAATGCAAGTGTGTCAGATCCTTTGATGGCTGATCGCTGATTGGTTCAAAACCGATTAAAACACATTTATTGTATTTTTCTTTTATTGTTTTTTTATCAAATAACATTTTAATTTATTACCACAACACACTATATGTGTGTCTTGGTTTCTGTGTTTTCTTTCCCTTTAATGATATGTGATCTTTCAGAAATTTAGATGAGGTTTGGAGGTTTAAATAAGTAGCCTTGTGTTTAACCCCAGTGTTTATCTTCATGCTTCCATGACTGATACATTGCAGACAGCCCTATTTAAGACAAACACTGTTTTAAAGGACATATCAAGATCTTTCTTTACTGTATATGCACGGTTAAACTGTGCAGCCAAAGAGCAGACTGAAAAATCTTCTTTCACCCCTTTTAATGTGTGCATGGATCAGTGCCTTTCATGAATTATCCATACATTCATTTTCCCCCATTTTCCTATTTAAAGTATTACCAATATTGGTCTGTTAGTAGCACAGGGCTTGCACTGTACATTTTATACCACTTGCTCTCTCTCTTTCTCTCTCTCTCTCTCTCTCTCTCTCTATATATATATATATATATATATATATATATATATATATATATATATACATTTAGGTACTGCTCTCTGTGAACTAAGACATCAGTTAATGGTTGACGACTTCTTTCCTGTTTTCGTCATGTACATTATGCTTCCTCACACGTTTCTGCCCTTCTGTACTTACTCAGTGACAGAAAGGTAACAGTTGGCCGGCAGCATGTGATTATACAGATCTTATTTCCAGCATTAAAGTGCCATGCTTTCTTTATCTTTAGATTAAAGGGCACAAAAAATGATCTGAGGGAAATTTATCTAGTCTCAACAGAAAATAGAAATCCAATTGCAATCCATATAGGCTAATAGTCCTGTCAGATTGGCTTGCAGAAATCCAGACCACCTTCATCCTGCAACTGTGATAGTGACTTTTTTCCAGTCCTTCCTATAATAAGAACAGAGAAGCAAATAGGAATGGCAAGTCTTTACATATGTAGCATGGTGTGAGCAGTTGGAACACGTATGGAAAGCAGACCTTGCTTTAGACTATTATTCTGGTCCTTGGGCCCTGTGCAGTCATTGGACATGCTGTCCAGAGCCAGGCAGTTGTTTGGATGACAGTCAACGCTGGTACAGCATTTTCCAAATGTACCATCGTTGAAGGACATTTAAATCAGTGAATGGAAAGGACAGTTTAAAGTCAGTGCTCTGTAGAGGAATTATTAACGGTGATGTATCCTAAGGTTACATCCAAAAGTGATTTTCTTCAGGATACCAACAACAGTGTCGCATAATGCTAGATCTACATCCTGTCTTTACAGAATCCAAATATTATGCCATTGATATATCAGCTACTGCTAGATGAAACAGAGAGGTCCAAACTTGCTGTTGGCAAAGAGCTGTTCTGTGGATTCCGCATCACTGATGGACTGCTACATCAGACATGTGCATCAGTATAAGCAGCCTTAAAGTAGAGCCCAAAAAAAAACAACCAGGCAGGGGAATGGGAATATCACAGCTTCTTTAAGGCTTATCTGTAAAACCGTTCAAAACTGCGGGCGCAAGAACAATCGAAGGCCAACTGAATTCAGACGTTATTACTTAACAAATAAGATTCTCTCTGTGTTCTCTTTGTATTCATTTCAAGGAAACCATACACATCTTTATACTCAATTGTAGTACGTATCTCAGAGTAAAACCGTCTCCATGCATTTCACATGTCTGTTACAGAAAGATGCTGAGAAGTGAATACGAGGCCTTGAGATGAATGTAAGGTGTAGATCATCAAGACCTCAGCATCTTTCACAGTGTAGGTGAGTGTGAGATATAAGGCAATAAAGTCTCAGTATTCACAGTGTACTATATACGTGCCTGGATCCAGATTGAGGTACATTTCAGCCTTACCCCCTGCTACTGCCTTTGGCAGCTTTCATGATCAGGTTTCCGATTTGTAGGGTCTACCACTCACAAAAAGAAACAGTACCAGTTTAAGTTCAAGACATTTTACATTTGAATAGATAAACAAACATACAAGCAAATTCTGGCAAGCACAATTGTGCATATTAGTAAGTAAATCCAATAAGAAAATGCAAATTCAGAGAAAAGGGCTTGTTAAGCTGTGAAGTGTTGTAAATAAAGTAGATGAGACCCTTCAGGCTCTTAAAAAGGGTGGAGAACTTGAGCTTTTGACTAACGATTAGGAAAAATGAAAAGCTTAGAAGAAACATTAGAAGAAAAAATAGTCAGTTGTTCTATACAAATCACATGGAAAAGAGCTTTCAATATTATACATTTCAGAGGCCGGTGGTATCATAATAAATACTAATACATACATTTAAAACAATGATTTAAATATGTAAAAGATAAAACGTTTCATGTAGCATTAAAATACATTATACCTTTTTATATTTTAAAAATGGAATATTTGGGCTCCCGAGTGGCGCAACCGTCTAAGCGTTGGCCCTATCATCAGGAGATCGCGAGTTCGATCCCTGGTGATGCTACAGCCATCCGTAGTCGGGAGTCTAAGAGACCGCAATTGGCCTCGCTCTCTCTGGGTGGGTAGGATGGCCCCTCCTTCTCCCCCCATCACTCAGCGCAGGCGTCTGTTAGCTGACGTAACAGATCTGGCGGTTGGCGCTTTCCTCCGAGCGCGTTCGGCTGTCCAGTGACGTTGCGTGAGCGGCAGCTCGAAAAGAAGCGGTGGTTGGTTTCACAGGTCTCGGAGGAAGCCTGTGTTAGCCTTCACCCTCCTAGCGTTGATAGCATCGTGTGATTGGGGGAGTCCTAACTAGCGGGTGGAATTGGAGACGAAAAAATCGGGTAAAAATAAAAAAAAAAAAAATGGAATATTTATTTTATAATATATTGT